TCCCTTTCTGTATTCCCATCAGCAGGGTATGACGGTGCTTGCCACCTCGAAGGCTGGCCAGCTTCCCGAGTTTTCAGGACTTTGGAATTTTGCCATCTGATGGCTAAGAGGTGGTACACAATTTTTATTTTCCTTTTCACCTTGTATCTTGTGTGACTGTGTGAGTTATTTAGTGTGTCTTATCCATTTCTCTGTAGGATTTTTTTTTTCATTTTTCTTCAGTTGTTAAAGGAATACTGGCCTTTTATCTGTAATATATATTGTGAATATTTTTTCCAGTTTGCTGTCTATCTCTTGACTTTGCTAGTTATGGATTTTTGCTGTGCAGATTTTTTTTCCCTTTTTTTGGAGAGGTTTTTGCTATAGGGCACGTGCACTCACTAGAAAGACAGAGATCACCCCCCAGGGGGCATGGCCATGCCGCAATCCCTTCTCCTCCCTTCTTCTCTCGGGATCTTGGGCACGCACGCACACACGCCTGGCGTGAGTTTAAGCCGCCGGGTCCGGGACTCGAACTGCAGTTGACTATGTGGGAGTCCAGCGATATAGCCATTATGCTAACTGCTGGTCCCCAGATTTTTTCTTTAATGAGATTTTTTTTTTTTTTTTTGGCTATAGTGCATGCACGCTTGCTGGAAAGGCAGAGCTACAGACAAAGGGACAGAAAGTGAGAAATCACCCCCTAAGGGATGGGCACTCCACGATCCCTTCTCCTCCATTCTCCTCTTGGAGTTTTGGGCACAGGCATGCACACGTACCCAGTGTGTTTCAAGCCTCTGGGTCCGGTACTTGAATCACAGTCGATCACGTGGGAGTCATGCAAATTTTTAATAATTTGTTTTTGTTTTAAATTTGCCAGAAGGCACATGCACTCAACAGAGAGAAAGAGAACGGAGAGGGAGAAGGCGCCCTCCAGGGGCACGGTCGCGCCGCCATCCCTCCCTCCCATCTCCTCACTCTGTCGGGGTTTGGGGGCTGCACGCGCACGCTCTCAGTGTGTTTCCTTCACGCCACTGCGGATGGCCCTTAGACCTCGTGGTTAGCCATACGGGGTCCAGCTCCTTTAACTACTGGTCATGGTGCTGGCCCTAAAAAGTTGGTTTTTTAGTTTATATATTTATTTATTTTAAGTTTTGCTGTAGGGTATGTGCACTCGCTGGAGAGAGACAGACAGAGAGAGAAAAATCACCCCCAGGAGGTATGACCACACTGCAGCCCCTTCTCCTCTCGATATCTTGGGCACACATACACATGTGCCCGGTGTGATTTAGAAGCCACCAGGTGTGAGACTCAAAGTCACACTGTTAGTCCTGTGGGATCCTGCCACCTTACCCTCCATGCCACCTGCTGGCCCCTAAAAACTTTCTGTGTACTCCAGTGTATTTCCCATCCTTACATCTGGATTTCTTCCCCCCAATTTACCAGAGGGTATGCACTCTGGCCAGAGAGAGAAAGCGAGCACCACCCCCTCTGGGGCATGGCCACACCACAGTCCCTTCCCCGGTTCTCTGCCACGCTGGGATTTTGAGCATGCACACATGTGTGCTCGTGTGTTTTTCATGTTGTCAGGGCCAGGATTTGAGCCACATGGGCTCTGGCTCCCCTAACAACACTAACCCAGTAAGCTGGCCCTGCATCTAGATTTAGTCATAGATAGAAATGGTATTCCCTTCCCCAGAGAGAAAGGAAACCAGTATTCAAGGAGTTTCACTCTCCCACTGGCACCATCTCACCTCTTCTGCAGAGGACTTCTGATCTCTTGACGGTACTAGCATATGTGGCTCAGAGTGTATCTAAATTTACTCCTAGCCGAATGTCTCTAACTAAGTGCTAACTTGTTTATTTAAGTATTTTTCCCCAGTGGTTTGAGATACCACGCCATAGACCCAGTGTCTTTATGTTTTGGGTCATCGGAAAAGTCATGACATGTTTTTCTATACAAAAACGCATCGTGACTTTTCCTCCGCCCAGTAGCTGGTTTGTGTTTGGACAGTCTCATGGTCCCCTGCTCTTCCATGTGCTGGCGCCATCTCGCTCTATAGTGGCTTGTGGTAGGTCGTGACATCATGCAGGGCGAATCCCACTGAATCCTCTGCAGTGTTTTCTAGCTATCCTTATTTTTTTTTTTTTTTTTTCCTTTTCTGTTATTTTAATTTGACCAGAGAGGGACAGAGAGAGAAAAATTGAGAAAGCAAGCTACCAGGTCTGGAACTCGAACCACAGTGAACCAGTACCCTTAACTACCACACCACCTGCCAGCCCCTCTAGCTATTCTTGCATGTTTTCCCCACATGAACTGCAATATCACCTCGTCTCAACAAAACACGGCAGTGATTTTTTCATTTGTCTTAGTCCGATAGGCCCTCTCCGTCTATAGATTCAGATTTTTTTTATTTCTGGAAAGTTCATATTATTTTACTTCCTCTATGGACTCTGCGTATAGATTGTGCCTTTGCCGGTCCTCTTTCAATCTCCAGCCGCTCTGTGTGTGTCTGTGTCTGTGTACACGCATGCCACGTGTGTACACGCAGAATGTTATTTTTATTATTTTTTAATTAGCAGATTGTTATTTTTATTATTTTTAAATGATTTCTCACTATGCCACGATCTCCCCCATCTCGCCTCCCACACAGCTGAGACTACAGGTGCATGCCACGGTACCCAGCATTTTAGGGTGGGTTGGGAATTGAACCGGAGCCTGCCAAGTGGCCTCAGCCTCCTGAGCAGCAGTGTCCAGCTACACTGGCCTGGCTAAGCCTCTCTCGGCTCTTTTTACTTCTTTATATGTTTTGTTCTAGATCTTTTCTCCTTTTCTTCAGTGCCTTTCATTTCATTTTCCTTTGAATTTATTCTCCTTTGTGTATCTTAAAATTTAGTCATTATTTCTGATGATAATTTATCTTTTCTCCTATTTCTTCCCTGAATTAAATTGGCTCTTTGTTTCCTCCTGGTTTTTGTCCATTTTCTAATAGTTTGTCCCCCATTCATTGTGGAATTTTGTTTTCTTTTTCATATTCTTGAGTGCCTGAGGCTATCTCAGTTTGGAGCTACGGTAGAGGGCTTGTTTTGTTTCCCTGTGGGTTTGGTTTGGTTTTCGGTCAGAATCGTCATTCTTTGCCCACATTAGTGAGCGTCCCATGTTGTTCAGAGCAGCTGGTCCTGCTGTTGGTGTCACTGAGGTTCCGTGGCACGCGTGGCCAGTGTATGGATCGTGCTGCCGCGGGACACGTAGGTTGCTTTTGCTGTCTGGCTGCTGTGCGCAGTCTGGCGGGAGCGACCTCTCTCTGTGCTGTGTGACCGCTTCCTTTGCGGTGAAGTTCGTGCTGCCTTTACTGCTGTCCACAGAGGCCTGATCTGCCAGGAGGACCAGGGCTGTGCGTGCGGCCTCCCCACTGATTGTGACGTGCACAGGGGCCGCTCGGCATGGCCGTGCAGGGACTGGCCTGGTTCGCTGGTGCTCTGTCCCTTGCCCGGTGTCACTGTGGGTGGGCCCCTCAGCTTCCCCACGGGGAGTGGGGGAGGACGGTGCTCTGTCCCTGGCTGGCATTCCCCACGGGGGGTGGGGGAGGACGGTGCTCTGTCCCTTACCAGGCGTTCCCCACAGGTGATGGAGGATGGTGCTCTGTCCCTTGCCCGGTGTCACTGTTGTTGGTGGGGGAAGACGGTGCTCTGTCCCTGGCCCGGCATTCCCCACGGGGGTGGGGAGGACGGTGCTCTGTCTGCCTGCAGCAGTCTTCCCCAGGTCTTCACCTGACTCTGGCTTCATGCAGCCCCCATGCGTCTCTTCCCAGTGGGAGCCACCACTTGCCCCTCCACCCTCACGCCTCTGCTGGGCACTGGTTTTGTTACCTCATGCGCCTGCCACCGAGGCTGCACTGCAATGCCGTCCAAGACAGATGCAGCATGCCCTCCTCTGACCTTGGCCGGTCTGCCCGCCGGTGGCACGATGGCAGGCCTGGCGCGTCCACCCCACTCCATGGTGGCGGGACAGTGGCACCCGGTGCAGGAGGCACTGGGGGACAGCGAGCTACCTAGGAGTGGGGTTAGGGTAGGAGTAAGAAGGGAGCCTCACCTGGCTGATGGCGTCAAGTGAGTGGCAGCAGGGGACAGCTGCTTCCATGGCAGCGGCCCCCCCTGGCCGGGTTCACA